TGTGTGTGGGGGGTGTGGTGTGTGTGTGTGTGGTGTGTGTGTGGGGGGTGTGGTGTGTGTGTGTGTGTGGTGTGTGTGTAAATGAACCCATCCCCGGAGCCAAGGGGATGGACTTCTGCCGGTTGGGTCCTCCGTTTGGGCCCCCGTTGCTGGACACCACTGATGTTTTCCTGCATCCTTTTCTCAGTCTCCGCTTCATCTCTGCAGGGCGAGAAGAACCACGGCTTCGAGGTTCTGTACCACAACATGAAGCAGGGGCCCATCTCCACCAAGGAGCTGGCAGAATTCATCCGGGAGAGGTGAGGTTCCCACGCCCACCTACACACGGCCGTGCCCCACAGTCCACCAGCCTGGCCTACCTCGTGCCCCGCCCATCCCGGCTCACAGCCACCCCAGGCCCCGCCCCATCAGGTGCAGGTCCCTGTGGGCTCCAGGGACCACACTTGCTTGAAGACCCTCAAAACTTGTCTTCTCAACACTCTCGGCCCCATGATCTGTAAACAACCTCCCAGGTGTCTCACCTCCTGGAAAGACAGGTGACCTACCTAAAGGGGAATTTGAAAACGCAATCTTGTGCCCTAAGCATGATAAAAAAAAACACACATATGATAAAATAGTCTACATTTCCGCATGTAAGTGTTCTGCTGTTAATATCCCAGAAAACATAATAAATCAGATTGCAAAGCAGCTCCCTGGTCACTCAGTAGTGAGTGCCTGTTACATGTGGGCAGAGACTTCAAAGGATTATAACCAAGTATTTCTCTTCATGGCTGTCAAGTGGGACTTGCCATACAGGACAGAGGCCACTCTCTATTTTGTGGGTGTTCCACCCTGTGGTACTCCACAGATGCCTCTCTCCTAAGATGCCCCCATGGGCAATTGGTTTTAACTGGGCTCATTGCTGCCCCAAACAAAATTAAGGTTCTATTAATCCAGATGAAAATGTGAGTGGAGCCCTGATTGGTTTGGCTCAGTGGATAGAGCGTCGGCCGGCGGACTGAAGGGTCCCAGGTTCGATTCCGGTCAAGGGCATGTACCTTGGTTGCAGGCACATCCCCAGTAGGAGGTGTGCAGGAGGCGGCTGATCGATGTTTCTCTCTCATCGATGTTTCTAACTCTCTGTCCCTCTCCCTTCCTCTCTGTAAAAAGTCAATAAAATATATATATTTTTTAAAAAGTGAGTAGATACGAGGTAGGCATTTAGCGGTGTCTGTCCAAAGGGAAGAAGTAGATATGAGTTTGCTTGCTGCAACTAAACAAGAAAAACCATATAAACATTATATGGTTTTTCTATATGGTTTTTCTCATTTATATTATACAGCATTTACAGTATGTGCTCAAAAATTTTTTGACCTGCTGCTGCTACTGTTGCTACTACTGCCACTACTATTGTTGTAAAATGTATTATTTAAGGATACAAACCTCTCCCGTGAATTTCCTGGTACTGTCCTCACTAAGAGCCACGGCTCAGGTCGGGTGTTTGAGGTGGGGAAACTGAGGCTCAGGGGGCCAGGGTACCTCCCATGGGTGCCCAGAACCTTCCCTAGCTTTTCCCTGTCCTCCTATCCAGGGCCACTATCGAGGAGACCTACTCAAAAGCGATGGCAAAACTTTCCAAGCTGGCCAGCAACGGAACCCCCGTGGGGTGAGTGGGCCATGGGTGGGGTAGGGGTCCCCAAGGTTGTGGGGCTCTGGGGTCCAGCCCCTTCCCTGGGGTGGACATCTTTTCACAGCTGTGTTGTGTAGGATAGGGAGTCATACCCCCACTTACGGGGCTAATCAGACAGAGGAAGGTATATCATTCATTCATTCATTCATTCACTCATTTAACACATATTTACTGTGTACCTACTGTGTGCCAGGTACTGTTCGAGGCACTAGTAACCCAGTGGCCACCAAGACGGATAAAATCCTCAGTTACCTGCAGGCTATGTTCATGCCACGTACATCTAGGATGTGTGACAAGACAAACGTTAACTACAAATATGAACAGTCCTTTCCCAAGGCTAAGAGTGCTAGGAAGGCAATGAAATAAGAGCCTGAGAGGTTGGGCACTTCCTCCGGGGGGGCGGGGGCGTTCTATGAACTGAGACCTTAATAACGGGAAGGAGTCAGCCCTGGGAATGAGTGTCTGGGGGACAGAGACCCAGGCTGGCAGTTCACCAGGGTAGAGGCCCTGACGCAGCCACGCCCTAAATGTTCAAGGAGGAGCAAAGAGGCTGGTATGCTGCAGGGCCTGAGTGAGCGGGAGATGAGATGGGGGGTTGGACATGGGGCCTGACGCACAGGTGACTTTAAACAAGGATGCGATGTGGTCCCACTGACATTTGCAAAGTTCCCTGTGGCTGCTGTGGGGCAAGAGTTCTGTCAGGGGCAGAAATGGAGGCCGAGGGAGGGAAGGCGGGGGAAGCGGGAGGGGGATTCTGCTGAGGCAGGGAGGCCCCGTGAACTTGCTTGGGGCTGGTTGGGTCCCAGCTGCCTTTGGGTATCAGGAGGGGCCTGGAGTGAGGACTCCGGGCCTCGGGGCCTGAATTTACATCCCAGCTCTGATGGTCATTGGCTGTGGGGCCTCGCATGAGTCACGGAGCCTCCAATTGCTCAGTTTCCCCACCTGTCACAAGCCTGCCTTATACGGCTGCCGTGGGGATTAAACGAGTTAATGTGGGCTGATGCTTAGCAGAGCCTGGCACACAGTAGGTGCCGGAGCCAATGCCAGTTATGCTGTCTGCGGGGACCCAGAGGTGCTGGGCCTGCTGGGCCCGCGTGTGACCGTGCCCGTCTCCAGGACCTTTGCCCCGCTCTGGGAGGTCTTCCGTGTCTCCTCGGACAAGCTGGCGCTCTGCCACCTGGAGCTGACCCGGAAGCTGCAGGACCTCATCAAGGACGTGCTCCGCTACAGCGAGGAGCAGCTCAAGATGCACAAGAAGGTGGGTGCCTGGGGGGCCCTGCCCGGTGGGGTGGGCGGGGGGTGCCGGCGGCTGAAAGGAGCCCAGGCCTTCTGAGGCCTGCAAACCTCCAGCCTCCACTTGTGCCGCTGCGGATGCTGGGAATTCTGAATTTTCGAACCCAGAACCCCGCAGACCAGGGAACTGTCAAGACATTTCAGACTCAGAATCCTGGAGCAGAGTCTGTGCGCTGCAGCCTGGGGGCCGAGCCAGCTCCACCAAGTTCTGTCTAGCCCACGAGCTCCAATGGTTATTACATTTTTATTTTTATTTTTTTAAAATATATTTTTATTGATTTCAGAGAGGAAGGGAGAGGGATAGAGAGATAGAAACTTCAATGATGAGAGAGAATCACCGATCGGCTGCCTCCTGCATACCCCCTAGTGGGGATCGAGCTGCAACCCAGGCACGTGCCCTTGGCCAGAATCGAACCTGGGACCCTTCAGTCCGCAGGCCGACGCTCTATCCACTGAGCCAAGCCGGCGAGGGCTGGTTATTATGTTTTTAAACGGTGGTGGGATCCGGAGAAGAAGAATACTTTGTGAAACGTGAAAACGACATGACACTCAGGTTTCAGTGCCAGTAAATCGAGTTTCATTGGCACACACCCATGTCCACTTGTGTACAATAGTCTGACTTTTTTGAGTTGAGAGCCCATGACAGGCAAACCCATTTGCTGTCTGTCCCTGCACAGAAAAAGCTTGCTAACCTCTCATCTCGACGGTTAGCACCTACAGATGTTATTATCTGACATGTCTAGACGCTTTCAAACCTAGAATCTTGAAAGCGTCAAGCTTAGACTCTCAGGAGCCCAAAATAGTAGCGTCTGATAATTCATAGGTGCTCGGCATTTACAGAGCCCAAATCGGCATTTTTAACTCTGTTAAATAGGGGAGCTGGTAGTAGTACTCCATACTGTATACTTATAAATGTTTAATATAGTAAATCTTATATTATGTGTATTTTATCAAATTTTTTTAAAAATTGGGCACAAGGAAGTTTCCTGTGGGCTGATGTGAAACAATCTTGGGACTGGACTGTGAAGTAGGAAAAACAGTGGGATAAACAGCACAGGCTGCTGCAATTTGTCCTGAAAAAAATGGGCGAAAATAAGCATATTTACTCGTCCATGTGCTGATTAATTCTGGAGACCCATGATGGTAATAATGGGGGCCCCCTGGCAGAGGCCTGGGAGGCTGGGGATCAGGGAATGGAAGGCTTTTGTTTTATTCTTGATTTTTATTTTTTTAAAATATATATTTTATTTTTATTGATTTCAGAGAGGGAGCGGGAGATAGAGATAGGAACATCACTGATGAGAGAGAATCATAGATCTCTCTCTCTCTGCTGCCTCCTGGAGGCCCCACACTGGGGATTGAGCCTGTAACCCAGGCGTGTGCCCTGACCGGGAATTGAACCCTGACCTCCTGGTTCATAGGTCAGTGCTCCACCACTGAGCCACACCAGTCAGGCTATTATTGATTTTTTAGAGACAGAGTAGAAAGGAGAGAGGGAGAGAGATTTGTTGTCCCACTTATTTATATATTCATTAGGTCTTGTATGTGCCCTGACCGGGGATCAAACCCACAACCTTGCCGTATCAGCACGATGCTCTCACCAACTGAGCTACTCAGCCAGGGCAGGGTATGGAAGGTTTTAGGGAGCTCACCCCTTAAAACTCTTTGAATTATGTGTAAATATTACCTACTTTAAACATGACAATTTTTTATGTTAAAATAATACTCAGAGAATCCCACACTGTTTGGGAAGCTGGGAACTTCACGGTCTGCACCTGAGGTCTGCTCAGGTCCTGCGCCCATGGGTGTCAGGTGGCACCCATGCTCCCCCTTCCCCTCCCTCGCAGCTGAAGGAGGAAGCAGGGGGCACCCTGGATGCTGTGCAGGTCCTCGCGGGCGTCAGCCAGCTCCTGCCCAAGTCCCGGGAGAACTACCTGAACCGGTGCATGGACCAGGAGCGGCTGCGAAGGGAGAGCACGAGCCAGAAGGAGATGGACAAGGTGAGCCCACGGCTGCCGGTCTCCAGCCTGTATGAGCCCACGTCCGCAGGTCCGGGAGCTGGCCGAGGCGTGGGGGCTGCCTGATGGGAGAGCGAAAACGTGTCACAGAGCTATGGTTATCGAACCTGAGTGTGGTCCCCAGGCCCTGGGCACCCCAAGGAGTCCAGCTGCTGGGGCAGCGGTGGGGGGAAGCTCCCTGATGTCCTCGCCCAACACTGTCCCCTCTCCTTGCCTCCCAGGCAGAGACCAAGACCAAGAAGGCGGCGGAGAGCCTGCGGCGCTCCGTGGAGAAGTACAACTCCGCTCGCGCTGACTTCGAGCAGAAGATGCTGGACTCGGCTCTGGTAAGAACCGAGGTCTGTGCCTTAGAGACCACACATCCCCGGCCATGGGCCTCAGAAGTCCAGAACCCCCCACACCCTCAACTCCTGGGAGCCTCGGTCACAGGGATAAAGCCGTCAAATGCTGAGCCAGTTAGCTAGTGTTATTGTTGTTGAAATTATTATTATTATTATTTCAAAAGTCAAATACTTTTTATTTTATTTTTTTGTTCATCCTCATCTGAGGATATTTTTCATTGACTTTTAGAGAGTGGAAGGGAGGGGTAGAGATAGCGAGAAACATAGATATGAAAGCTGCACATCAATTGGTTGCCTCCCATACGTACCCTGATCAGGGCTGGGGATTGAGTCTGCAACCAAAGTACGTGCCCTTGACCAGAAGCCGGGACCCTTCAGTCCAAGGGCCGATGGTCTATTCACTGAGCCAAACCAGCTAGGGCTCAAATAATTTTTGTGCCTCGGTTTTCCTACCTGTAAAATGGGAACAGTAATAGTACCTGCCTCATAGAGTTGTTGTGAAGATTAAATGAGTCACTATATTTGAAGTTTTCAGACTAGTACCAGGTGCATAGAAACCATTCTATAAGGTATAATTTTTATTTATATTATTATTGACTAGAGACCTGGTACACAAAAATTCATGCACTGGGGCGGGGGGTGTCCCTCAGCCTGGCCTGTGTCCTCTCACAGTCCAGGACCCCTCAGGGGATGTCCTTCTGCCAGCTTAGGCCCGGCCCTGCGTCCCTGCCACGTGGGTGGTCATGATGCGACCTGTCCCTGTCTGGCTCACAAGTCATGCGCCACCTGCCTGGAGGCCGCTTTTATAACCCTCAAACAAAGCGAGGTCGACCAGATGGCCAGGTTGGTCCATTGTCATCACAGGATGGAGGCAAATGGTAATCCCAGGGATAGGGCACGCGCAGCCGGCAAAGGTGAATGGCAGGCCTAAGCTGCAGTCGGACATCCTTAGCACTGCCGAGGAGGCAGGAGAGGCTCCCTCCACCACCGCTGCACTTGCAGCCGTCAGTCAGCCCGGCTTGTGGCTGAGCAGAGCTCCCCCTGTGGGAGCGCACTGACCACCAGGGGGCAGCTCCTGCATTGAGCGTCTGCACCCTGGTTTCAGTGCGCATCAGAGCGCCCGGTCATTCTGGTCATTCCGCAGTCAGGGTCAATTTGCATATTACCCTTTTATTATACAGAATAGGATGAGGTTTTTTGTTTTTGTTTTTTTAACAAGATAGGGCAGGATTTAGACTCTGAGAGTCTCCTGACATTTCATGGTGGCTGAGAGGCTTGGGTTCTGGTCCAGCCTCCATTCCTCACCAGCTAAGTCACTTTTTACAAGATCCTGTATCTCTCTGGGTCTCTGTCCATCCAAATGTGTGAAAAGCAGATTGGAATCTCAGGATCAGGAATCAGATTTTTTTTTTTCTGATTTTGCAAGTGATGGGAAGTTACCAATGATAGAGACCTTCATTCAAACTGACAAAGAAGATTTATAGGCTCACGGGACAGAGAAGTTGGAGGGGAGGGCTCCAGGCATGGCTGGATCCAGGTGCTCGAATGGTGTTGGCAGGAAGTTGTGCCTCTCTCCTTTTCAAGTCTGTTTTTCTCTCTGGGGCTTCATTCTCAAGCAAACACGCCCCCATCTGTGTGTGTGTGTGTGTGTGTGTGTGTGTGTGTGTCCCCGGCAAAGTGGCCACCAGCAGCTTCCACGTGCATCCCACCAATTCATTGACTCAGGATAAGAAAATGTCCTTTCCCTATAGTCCCAGCAAAAGACCTAGGGCAGACTGTCCTGGGCTCTTCCCCAAACCGATCACTGGGCGTAGGGGGTTGAGATATTCTGACAGATCGGGCTGAGTCACAGGGCACCTCCTGGTGGCCTCCCCCTTTCTGCTGGCCCCTCCCCTGCCGCCTCAGCACTTCCAAACCATGGAGGAGACCCACCTCCGGCACATGAAGACGCTGCTGGGCTCCTACGCCCACTCGGTGGAGGACACGCACGTGCAGATCGGGCAGGTGAGTGGGGCCGGGGGTGGGGCATGAGGGTGGAGGTGCGGAACAAGAGGTCCCTGGCCTGGCCCAGTCACACACCCCACCCACTCTGCCCAGGTTCACGAGGAGTTTAAGCAAAATATAGAGAACATCAGCGTGGAAATGCTGCTGAGGAAGTTCGCAGAAAGCAAGGGCACGGGCCGGGAGAAGCCTGGTGAGTGGGGGCACCTGGGGGTCAGGCTGCGTGGAAAGGACAGGGCTCCAGAGGCAGGAGGCTTCCCGGGGTCTCAGTTTCCTCATCAGTAAAATGGGCTGATGACAAGTCTAACTACAGCCCACAGAGGAAGGGGATTTGATGCCTGATCTTGTGTGTAAATCTAATACAACCAGATCCCGGAGGGGCCCTGAATGCCAGGCTCAGTTGTTCAAACTTTACCCCCAAGGGCCAAGGGAGGCCTTACGAGCTGTTGAGCAAAAGACCAATTGGAAACTGCCCAGGTGCAGGGTCGGGGAGACGTGGAGAGCAGAGTCTGGGGTCAGACCTGCGCGTGAGTCTTTTCCTCACTGCTTCCTGCTGTGAGGACTCGGATGTGGGTCTTGACTTCTCTAAGCCTCAGTTTCTTCGTCTGTAAAGTGAGGAGGATACTGATCCCCAACTGATGGCGTGTGAACGTTCAGTAATTTGGTGCAGGTAATAGGCGAAGTGTCAGCCTGGCACGCAGTAGGAATTCAGTAGGTGCTGGTGCACAGTCTGTCCCCGAGTCTAGTCTAGCACGAAGGCCTGTCCTTTCTCCCTCCTGGCTACACAGCTCAGCCCGCCCCTCCTTGCGCAGGCCCTTAGTCCAGCCCTTCACTGGCCCAGGTCAGTCATGTCCGGCTCCTGCCCACACACCCTCCCTGGCTCCCCATCTCCCCGAGGAGAGCCCCAGCTCCTCTTCCGGGCACTTGCAGCCCCGCCCATGGCATAGACCTGTGGTCCATCCCTGACCCACCCAGGGTCCATCCAGAAAAGCTGGACGTAGAAATGACTCAGGCATCACCCCTCCCTCAGTCCGTCCCAAGGTGGGGGCAGAACCCTTGGCCCACCCCCTCAGGACCAGCTCCGCGACTGGTGTGTGTGTGTGTGTGTGTGTGTGTGTGTGTGTGCGCGCCCAGGGGTGTACCGCTACCCTCCTGGGGCCCAGGTGCCCTCTCTGCTGAGTGTGCCAATCCCTTCTGTCTCAGGGCCGTTGGACTTTGAGGCGTACAGCGCAGCCGCCCTGCAGGAAGGCAAGTACGTCTGGACCTGGACGCCCAGGCTGGACTGTAGGGAGCGAATGCTATATAACTTCATGAATAATACTTTATAGCTAAGCACTAGTAACAAGCATCTGAGCTTGCTAGAAACATGGTGGCCCTAGACCTGCTGAATGCAGGGTTGCCTAAAAACATGCACTTTGTAGAAAAACGGGTGTGGGGGAGCAATATCTGCATCTGCAAAGCACAATTAAGCGCATGCAAAAATATGTGCTCCTG